ACAGAAGCCCAGGAGCCTGACGGGAGCCTAACAGAGGTGAAGAGTCATGTGCAAGGGGTGGGATAAAGGAACTACACGGGAATAGTTAAGGAAAGGAAACTAAATGGGTGCATAAATGAAGAATAATGGAAACCACACCACTTACCTGTGAAGAAGGAAATAGTAGGTCAGTAGAAAGTTTAAACTTTATGGCATCCAATTGAGAGTGTATTGGCATGAACCCATACTTTGAACATATAGTATCAAAGACAATTGCTGAGTTGTGTTGTGTTTATTAACAAGTATACCAGACTTGTAATATGTACACACAGGCATATATTGGCCAGCTCAATCCACTGAGATGTGGGTGTGACACACCTCTGTTCTTGGCTTTTAAATATTCTTAACTAAAGGAAGTCAGGGCTCTACAAATACATGATTGATTCTAGGATTGGGAAAGCACAGATCCGGGATGAGCCTAGAACGCTTTGTTACACTAGAAAGTAAGAGGTGGTCAAAGAATGTAGGTGAGGTCATGATGATACAGTTAGTTGAATGCTTGTTTAGAGGTACACCCATTGACCCAAACTGAGCGGCTTACAGCATTAGTTATAATAAAAAGACCAGAATCTACTGCATAAGACGGGAACTCACAATCCCATACTGATACAAACAAAAGGAGAAGCAATGGAATGCAGACTAGAGGAGGGTGGTAATAATTAACTTGGCATAGTCTAAGTCCATTGGAAGACAAAAGATCACTTTGTGGCTGTAATAGTGTAGAGATTTTAGGCTACTGCTCCCAAGGCAAGAGCAGTGAATGGCAGGAGACACCGAGCTTACGCACTCTCATAAGGCCCTTAGCCACCTCTTTTCATTTCCCCAGTTTCCAGGGAAACTCACCTTCTTCCCTAGTTTTACATCATTCTCTAAGAAAGTGTCTTCCACTCATCTGAGATCTTCCATTTTCAGCCCAGAGCATGAACATCATCATTAATCATCAGAGGGAAGGTGACTCAAATTCATGACACAAATGTTACCTGTTTTCATGGAATTTTGTGATAGAACACGCCTTTAGTTCTCTGAAACTGCCTATAGCTTAAAGTGCAAATTTTAAATAATTCAACCATTTATACTACTGGGCTGTTCATCCTCAACTATGGTAGTGGATGAAGGGTTTTAAAAGCTTTAAAGTTGGTGAAGGGACAGGTAGAAGGTATTTTAGGCTTTTTATGTGTGTGGTCCTGCAGGAACTCAGCTTTATCATTATACAGTTGACCGCAGGCAGCACGATGAGCTTAGTTGTGTGCCATGAAACACTAGCTACCAACATATGAGGTTCATAGAACACTCATATGATATAGGGTGGTATTCTCACTTTCACTCTGCTCCATTTGGAAATGCAAAATTATTTTTAGTGTGTGGACTGTGTAAAAATGAACACTGGTCTATATCTGTCTTTCTCGATGTAGTTTGTAAATTTCTGCTTGAAGACAATCAGATCACAATATTAACAGGTTTCCAGAATTTCTTTCATAAACGGCATACTTTTGTGCACTCATTATTGGTTTTACAGATATTACTAAGAATCATTATTCTTGTGCATCTGTACTCTAGGTTATGGTGACCTTTTGAAGTGAATAAATGTGCTGGTACCTTCCTTTGAGGTCCCATAGAGCCTGGATGTTCACTATTTTAGGAGAATGAAGCTGGCGGGGAGAATAAGACTGCGTAGATTAATGGGTTTATTTTAGATTATCATTAGTACCAGGCTGGCTTTGTTCCTGTGGTAGTTGCAAGAAAATGCCCCCAAAAGGAGTGGCACTATTAGGAGGTGTGGCCTTTTTGGAGTGGGTGTGGTGTTGTTGGGGGAAGAATATCATTGTGGAGGCCAACTTTGAGGTCTCATATATGCTCATGACACTGCCCAGAGTCTCAGAGACCGCTTCCTCTTGCCTGCCTATAAAGATGTAAGGATTCTCAGCTCCAGCACCATGCCTGCCTTGTTTCCAGGCATGCCGATAATGGACTAAACCTCTGAATTGTAAGCAAGCCATCCCAATCAATTTTTTTTTTCTCTATAAGAGTTGCCGTGGTCATGGTGTCTCTTCACAGCAATAGAAACCAAACTAAGACATTTCCCTGTAATGACTTTAGTTATAGGTGGTTTTTAATTGTGTGTGGTCTCTTTTTCCTTATTTCCTTTATTTGACTCTTGAATTGCTCCCAAGATAGTTGTTTTAGAACGGGCCTGTAGGAATGAAGCATTGGTGAATCTCAGAAGGAGAACTAAAGTTTTTAAAAGATGTGACAGTCAGTCTTAGTCAACTTGGTACAATGTAGAATCACTATGAAAATGAACCACTGGGCATGTTTGTGAGGGCTATTTTAGATTTGGTTAATTGAGGAGTCAAGGTCTACCACGAATATGAGAGATACTATTCCCTGACCTAGACTCTCAGACTGAATAGAATGGGGAAAGGATACGAGTGGGTGCCTTCATCTCTCCTGCTTTCTTACTGTGGTGCAATGCGATCAGCTGCTTCAAGGTCCTGCTGTGATGACTTCTTACCACATTGGACTCTGAGCGGAAATAACCCTTTCCTTGAGTTATATTTGTCAGGCATTTTGTTGAAGCAACAAGACAAATAACTAAAATAGGCATGTATTGCATATATGGTTTTATTCATTTCTAAAGTTGCCAGAAAAAAAGTGCAAACCAGCCAGGTGTGATGGAATACACCTGTGATCCCGGCAACTGGGGAAGGTAAGCCAGTAAGCCTGAAAGTTTGAGCCAGACTGTGCTAACAACAAATCCTGGCAATATGATCTTTGTAAATGTTTTTAAAGACTTTCAAAAGTCACCAAGTATGTTTTTTCTATACTTAACAGGTCATATAGTTCACTGAATAAAATGGTATTTGGAAAGTTAACATGTTCCTTATCTTTATCAGAGTACTATCCCATTCTTGTTTTAGACTTAGCTAACTTGTACAATAATCCTATGAAGTAAGTAGGAGAGTCAAAACTCAGGTACAAATGGAAAAAAAAAAAAAGGTCCAAGTTAGGTCTAGTCTCTCCAATGTAATCTTGTACCTCTGATAATTGAGGAGGATTGTTCTTCCAGCCATGAGTGAATCCAGGGAATCAAACGGTATCTTGAGTTCTCGGGTTACAATACTTACACCAGTTGTACTGCCAGGCCATTTTTCAAAAGCCCAGTTTCCCCTTTGTGGTCCCTTCCTTTTCTTCCCAGTTTCACAGCATTTCCAGGAAACATCACTGAGCCCAAGTAGCAACGTTCCCCCTGGTCCTAGTCAGGAAGGCCTTCAAGAAGGACGTCATTACCCACCAGGACCACTTGATGTAATAAAAGTGGTTATCCAGAAAGGGATGCTGAGTAAATAATCAATAGCCTTCTACAAAGGAGGCACAGGGAAATAAATTTTTCCTAGGTTGCACTGTTGGCTGGTAGAAAATAAAACAGAAACTAATGTCTCCTTGCCTTTGTTAGTGCCTCTGTTTTTACTTGTATAACTATGCTATTTCCTTGGTAGATGTAGCCTTATGCCACCATTTTAGACTAAAAGCTACCCTCCACAGATTTTACCACTGTAATGCCATTCTTTTACATATATTGCCTTTTCTTGCACAAACATGTCAATTACTTCCCATTTAAGGAACATAATTATGTCCCTCTTATTTGCGTCAGTATTTATAACTCTGGTTTTGCAAAATAATTTAATATTTTTATGTAGCTTTGATGTCACTCCCACACCTACACAAAGCAGACTTATTTGTTTTTATTTTTGCCTTGCTTGGGGAAAGGAGGCTCTGATCCAAGGGCATCATCACATACGAGCTTCACAGGTATTTTGAAATGCATTTTATGGTACTTAGAAGTGGATCTTTAGAAAGAATACAAAATAGAAATAAATGTGTGTTAACAGTCAATTATGTTTCTTTCCGGAATTTATTCCTTACTTTTCTGTGACAGGTATAATATAAAATGCTGATTCGTTGTAAGGGCTGACCATCTTTCTACAAGCAGATGAAGGGCTGATTTAGTCGAAAGAGGACTTGAGAGGATGCCAGCTGTGGTGGACCATTAGAAGTGGCTTCCGCTCTGGGCCTCAGTGGTGCCCTCGCTTGCCAAAGGCGGTGGTATCATTGCTTTATTTTGGAATAGAGCAAAAAGCAATCAGAGTGCTTCTAAGATACAAAATTACATATAAATGCCAACATTTCATTTATTTGAAAACTGTTTTCCCCGTGACGTCTACGAAATAAGTAGAAACATGTGGAAACAGCTATGTAAATGGCTTCTTGGAAAATGTGAACGGATTTTTCTGAAATGCCCTAACGCGAAACGTGCAGATCCCACAAAGAGCGACGGTGAAGAGGCTTCTCCTGAGTTTTCTCAAAGGTTCCTGATGAACTCTTTTGCACATATATACTATTGTGAATAATTTCTTGTACATCTGCAGTGTTGTAAGAAATTTTCTTTTGGAACAAGAAAGTAACAAAATGAAAAGATTGTGAACTTTTTCTTCCGTGTACGGCTGGCCCAGCCCGGACGCTGCCCGCGGTCGCAGCGCCACCTGCCGGACATCCCAGTCCGCAGCTAGTGACTCCGGGCTTCTCCACCTTAGCGGGCGAGGCCTCGTCCCGCCAAGTACCAGCTTAAGCCTGAGTAAAAGGTCCACGAGTGCCCGTTAAAGCCAGCTCCGCGCTGGATTAACTCCTCCCTTCTAGGGCGGCTCCTCCAGGGTGGGCGGGGCCACGGCAAAGGGGGCTGGGCTCCGCTGAGAGGGCCGAGCGTGAAGGGCGTGGCTAAGAGGGACGAGGGCTGTACGTGGTGGGCGTGGCCCGGCTCGGGGTGGCCCTTGCCGTGGGTGGGGTTACGGCTAGAAAGCGCTCACCTAACTGGCTGCTTCTTTCCGGAACTTCCTGTGTCTTGACTTTGTGGATGGCGTCACCGGGAACCTGAACAGCCGCGTGCGTTTTGCAGTTTGGTGAGAAGCTTACGAGGTTTTTCGGCGCGCTGGGGTGAAATGTCTGGGGCCCAGGCAGGGCGTGCTGGGACTTGGGGCTGCGGCGGCCCCGAGGGCTCTGTCGTACGGACTTCTCCGCCCGCTGCCTAGTACTCGTGGGCTATGGACCCACCCGCCCAGGCGGGCCTGAAACCTTGGGGCCACCCCTTGGCAGGTTCCCTGTATTTGAACCGTCTTCATCACAATTTTCAAGCTGTCAGCTTTCCCAATCCTGGCCTCCGTTAGGTTGTTCGTCTTCTCGAACCATTCTGTTTCTGGCTTAAGCATCTCTCTTGTCTTTGGAGTTAGTAACACCTTTGCCTGTGTATGCTTTATGTTGATGTTAGTATTTGTGTATATAAAATGCCTGTTTGCTTGGCGTATGTGTACTTAAATACTTATCGATTCTTTATTACTTCAGGCTTAGTAACTGATAAGTGGATAAGAGGTTAGATGAGGGATTTTAGAGAAATTGACTAACTTTTTAGTTTTTTGTTTACTCTTGTAATCATGTATTATCTACTGCCTATTTATTTATTTATTCTTGTTTTTTTCGAGACAGGGTTTCTTTGTGTAGCCCTGGCTACAGGCTGGCCTTGAACTTACAGAGAAATTCCTCCTGCCTCTGCCTCTTGAGAGCTGGGATTAAAGGCGTGCACCAACACCACCCACCGCCAAGCTTTTTTTTTTTTTTTTTGATTTTTTGAGACAGGGTTTCTCTGTGTAGCTTTGCGCCTTTCCTGGATCTCGCTCTGTAGACCAGGCTGGCCTTGAACTCACAGAGATTCACCTGCCTCTGCCTCCCAAGTGCTGGGATTAAAGGCGTGGTCCACCACCGCCCGGCTTTTTTTTTTTTTTTTTTTTTAACAAACAACAACAACAAAAAATTAAATCTTGGCAAACTGCATCATTTCTTTCTTTAATCTGTAAAATTGGGTTAATAGTACCTACCACAAAGGGATGTGGTGAGGAATAACTGAGTTAAATCACATGAAACATTAGTCTAGTGACTATATATAATAAAAGCTCAATAAATGGTATTTATGTAGCAACTTTTAAAATAATCAAAACTATGATGGACATAAAAGTTAAAATTATTTGTAGTTCAAAATATAAGCAGTTTAACCCTTTCTTTTCTAGACAATGGCCAAGAACAAATTAAAAGGGCAGAAGTCCAGGAATGTATTTCATATAGCCAGCCAAAGAACCTTCAAAGCTAAAAATAAGGCAAAACCAGTTACTACTAATCTTAAGAAGGTAAGTATTCTGACTTTTTTACAAGCAAAATGTACTTAGAAACTACTGAATAATGGGATTTTGTTATTTAAACCAGAAATTGTCAGCATTTCTTACTAGGCAAGATTATTTTTAAAATATTAAGATAAATAACCTCCCTTTTAAAATACAAATTAAAGAGGGGGGCAAAAACAAAGAAACTGCACGTATGAGGTCCCACACAACAGCCTAATAGCTGTATGAGACCACAGAAATTACTGTTAAGACAGTATGCAGGACAGAAGTTCTTATGAGCTCACTTTGAAGTATATTCAAGATTCCACTAGCAAAGCTGAACAATGTCCACCAGCAGCTTGCTAACTAGAAACTTGGAACTTAAAAGCCTATAAAATGGAGCCAGGCTGTGGTTACACCCCTTTAATACCAGCACTCAGGAGGCAGAGGCAGGTGAATCTCTGAGTTTGAGGCCAGCCTGGTCTACAGAGCGAGTTCCAGGACAGCCGGGGGTACACAAAAAAACCTGGTCTAACCCCCCCCCCCAAAAAAAAGCCTATAAAATGAAGAATACAAAATTTGAAAAGGTTTGTCTTTATTCTTCAAAATAGGTGGAGAGATGGCTTAGCAATTAGAGCATTTATTGCTTTTGCAGAGGACCAAGGTTGAGTTCTAAGCACCCCATGGGGGCTTACAGCTAATTCCAGTTCTAGGGGATCTGATATCCTTTTCTGGCTTCTGTGGCTCCCTGCATACACATGGTGCACATAAACTTATGCAGGTGCATACACATATAAATAAAAATAGTAAATCTTTATACTTCAAAATGCCTGAGAATTTTCATGGCTAAGTAGATTATGTATACTCTTAGAAAGTTTCTTAGCTTAAGTACTAAGTGAGCCGGCTCTCCAGGATGTAATAGTTGTCATAAAAGTCCACTAAAAACTGACTTATCTCTCTTAAGAACTGGGATACACTTTCTAAAGGAGATTTGTAATCTAATTATAATTATAAAGGAAGTAAAGTTGGGTAAGACAGGAGTTTGGAGAGAGTTTTCCACTGGGTTTTCTTTGTAGTTGCAGAGACCTAAATGAAAAAGAGCTAATACTGCAGAGTGGGGAACCCGAGGGCAGCATGTTCATAGTCTATGAGGAATATTACTTTCTTGAGCTATAAGACAGTAAAACTTTTATATAAGTGTAGGATCAGAGAAAGGGCATATCTAAATAGGTAGTTGGAGTTAATATCAAATAATTTCTTCAGAAAGTAGCTTTATTAAATTTTACATAAATGACAGCTTGAAATTTGTGACAATGAATTTAATGAAGCCAGTCAGTGAGTTATGACTTTAGTCAGATTAAGATCTGGACTCAGAATGGGTACTTAGCCAGGTTACCAAGCAAATTTTGTCAAGGTACGAGAGGCGAGAGAGGTGACGGGTGGGGGGCGTGGGGAGGAGAGGGGGTGGTAGAGGGAGGAGCTATGTTGTCTCACAGGGGCAGAGGGTAGAGGTCCATTGTTAAAAAGATCCTGCAGAACAGGACCTTGAGACAAGAGACCATTAGACTAGATTTATTGAACTCACTGAGCAGAGATTCCATACATAGAGTGGTCAGAGTTTTTGAATTCACAAAGCAGCAGATAATTGTGGTATTTCTGGATGACAATAGGGAATAAAGTCCAAACTTTCTGACTAAATTTCCTTATAAGACAACAGTAGTTTTTGTGTAAAATATCTACTTGGTAGAGTCAAGAGTTTATAGATTTCTTTTTTAAAAACTTTTTTTTAAAATTTTGTGTCTGTGCCACATGCAGACAGGAGTAGGAGAGGGTGTCTGAGGTCAGAGGACAGCTGCATGTGTTCAGGATCAAATCTAGGCTGCCAGGCTTGCTCAGCAAATGCCTTTACCTGCTAAGACATTTAGACAGTGCAGTACTTTAACAGTTATGAGATTCTAAGATTTTTTTGTTTTTACAGATAAACATTATGAATGATGAAAAAGTCAACAGAATGAACACAGCTTTTGTAAATATACAGAAAGAACTTGCAAACTTTTCAAAAAGCCTTTCTCTTAAATCTGTGCAAAAAGAGCTGGTAAGTAGAAATTAGTTGCTTTCATGACTGATAAATTGAAGGCTAACACACTTGAATAAGTAATTTTTACCTGGTGTTTTGGTGTATATATAGCACTGTAAGTCATATTCAGGCTCAAACACTAAGTCTGATATAGAATTTATTGTATTTCCTAAGGGACTCTAGAAGAGTTAAACTAGGTAACAGTTTGTAGTCACAGTGGTTTAGTTTGCTGTTACTTAAGTTTTTGTTTTTTAAACTTTCTTCCCTTTGATTCCTCAGAAGCCCCGTGAAAATGAACCGGCTAATGTTGATGAAGCGACAAGACTAATGGCTCAGTTGTAACCTAGTGACAGAATATCACATTCCCCCAAAGGTCAATAAACCGAATGCTCATACAACTTTATTTTTTTAATCTTGTTAATGTACAGGCATTGGCACATTTTAAAAACAACTACATAACAGATCTTTCCTATACTCTAGGAAAGTGGAATGTCAGAAGTCAGCAAACTGATAAGACTTAAAGTGCTAAAACAGAAGGCACTTCACAAAGTCTGTTCACGCAACAGTGACGTCCTTCACTCGCTATGTGGCAGTGAATGTCTGAAGGACACATAGATAGAACTTTGTGGCAGTAAAAACATAAAGACAAATAAGTGATCTTCTGGGCAATCTTTTGTCGTGATGACCTGAAGCCTGCTTTAACTTTCCTCAGCAGAGGAAGCTACAGCAGAATTCAGCATTGAAAGAAACTGAATATAATCACGGGAGGGACATGCCGGTAGACAGTTAATCACCCCCCCCCCCCCAAAGTAGTCAGAGCCCTTTCAAGTTTTGTGAAGTAAAAAATAAAATGTTAGGGAAGAACATTTCAGAATCAGCGAACTAAAACGGTGTTACATTCATAATTTTAAATACTTAGGTTATTAAGAATTCTACAATGTTACAGTTAGAGGTAGATAACAGTCCCAAGTTTCCATGGAATCTAATAATTTAGTATCTGAACATCAAACAAATCACAAACTCCTTCATTATCATCTAAATTAAAATTGTAGTCATCTGCTGGGGTAGGAGAAAGCCGTAAGAGAGGAAAGACTGCAAAGGAAAAACAGATTCATTGTTACAGTTGGTTTCCACAGGCGTTATGATGATTAGCATAAAATTTCTCACAATTCTGAATCCAAACTTACACAAAAGCCCAGCAAAATTATTAATTAGCATACTACAGATGATTTTTAATAATTATTTCATATGATACCCTGGCTAATGTTAGTAATAGTTCAAAGTGATTCAGGTGGGCAGCTTGAAATTGCCTGTGATGGGAATATGTACAGAACTTCATTGTGACATACTATTCAACTGCTCCTAGGCCAGTATGTGAATAGTTTTCAATGAAAGTGGTAAGTATTCCTTTTGGGGTCTTTCCCTAAAAATGCAAGTAAATAAAAATTCTAAAAGATGCCTAGTATAATCTTGAGTCACATGGCATTTACACTCTAGGATAGTGATATATATCCAGTAGTAAAATCTTCAACTACTTACCATCAGAAGACATCAGTTCATCAATGATGTCTCCACTAATAGATCCTGTTGAAAACATAAATGTGATAGAGGCAATTACATTTCAGTAGTGGTAGTCACATCACTAGTTTGATTGGCAGAATGAAGTTAAAGACTCCCCATTCTTCTAAAACTGAATCTGTCACAAGTGTGATATAATTCTACTCACTTAACAACACTTCATTTCTCCTGTTCATTTCTCCATATCTTATACATCAAAATGTACTTGCTTTACCTAAACAATATTTCTCCTATCTGCTCATTACTTCTCTTTCCTATCTCCCTGGTGGCACCCTATTCTAGTCTTACATTGTCTCTGCTGTGGCAACTGCAAACATCTCATCTTCAATCTCTGAAGCTTCTGAAAAGCTATCCTCTGCTTCCCAAAAGCACATTGTTTCCAAGTCACCCTACCCTCAAGCTCACCAGTGCACAGCTAACTTCTATTTTCCCTTGTACAAATCTTAGCTGGTTTATTAGCTAACATTTTCATCTGATACTCCAAACCTGTAATGTGGCCCCAAGTAACTTCTCTCACTTTCCCAAATGGTACACAGAAAGGAATCAATTATTATTATTATTTTTTAAAATGCTCTTTGGGAGCAAAGGTACCAATTAGGTTTAAGCTAAAGCATATACAGTTTGTTTACCTCGTGTATCCCAATTAAATTGGAATTAGTACTTTCTTAAAGACTATACTTGTGCATCTCTTCAGCTATAGTGTATAAACTTATAGGGAAGAAGCAAGGTATATGTGACACAAAGCTAAAAACTAACCTATGTCCAATTAAAATCTAGCTTCACTGTTACTGATTATGAAATTTCAGTAGATGCAATGAGATATATCCCATTAGCAAACAATACAAATTATATAATACAGCTTTTTATATCTGCAGTAACTTCTGTATTTGCTTAGAAACAAAAGTTCTATATAGTCTAAACATTGTAACTGATTAGATAGATACTCCTGTAATGTGCATATACACATTCATGCATACAAATATGGATTTCATATGACATCCTGGCTAATATTAGTAATAGTTGAGTGATTTGGGTAGGTAGCTTGAAATTGCCTGTGGTGGGAGTACGTACAAAACTGTTGATTGTGACACACTGTTCAATTACTCCTGAGCCAGTGTGTGAATAGTTTTCAGTAAAAGTGGTTAAGTATTCCTTATGGGTTCTTTCCCTCAAAATTCATATACATATGCATACCCATATATGTATTATGTCTAGAAAAACATAAAGACAGAATTTGCTTTAAAATCTTCCTTTATACCTATTCTAGTAACAGGTATATAGAATATAGAGGATACTAAATTAAAACATTGAATAAGCTTATTTTGCCTTTTATCTAAAGCTCTCTGATCTGTTTGAGGTAGTCACCTGAAATTTTTAGATCAAAGACTTTCTACCAACCTGAAGATATTTCTGTAGCTGGTGTCTGCTGGAAACTCTGGCTTCTTTCAGAAACTTGCTGCTCAGGCAGGTTCTGAGCAGCCATGGTGGATTTCTGTGGAGTCATTGATGTTGAGGACTGGGAGGAAGGCTGTGTGAGGTCATCAGGTGGGGGGACAGGAAAAACCACCGGCTTAGATGAACTGGACTCTTTATTTATAAGCAGCACATGGATAGGTCCTGAGTGACTCTTTAAATTTATCTGGTATTTCTTTTGTCCATTCTGACCCTTTGAAGTTATTGGGCATAAACAAATAAGTATTATCACTGCTAGCTAACTTGACACATTAAGACAAAGGCAAAGTCATTAGAATCTAACAACTCAACTCACATGAAAAAGTCACTGGGTTACAACACAGGAGAAAAGACCAAGTAGAATAGAATTCTGAGGTCTGTAAGCCACTTGCCCCTAAGAGGAACTTTGTAAAAATGGCTATCAGTTATGAACTTCTAAATAGTCAGTCTGTCCTGTCCTTTCCTCTTTCCTTGTCCGTGTTGTTCCTTGTTTCCTTTTCCTTCCCTTCCACTTCTTCCCCGTCCCTCACTCTCGTCTTCACTGGACAGACTTTCACTATGTAGTCCAGGTTGGTTTCAAAACGGTCTCTCGCATGCTGGGATGATTACTACATGCACACACCACTATCCACTTTACTATCTGTAATGTTACCTGGTTGTGCTCAGTAATGTGCAAAGTGGCCACATGCGTGAACTACAATCTCTGGCGTAAGCTACCACAACTGTGGTCATCTACATCCTATTTGAATTTACAGACTGCACAAACCAAAACTTTTCCAAGACAATTGACCTGACTTCCTACATAGATAACAAAATTCTTTCTTTTCCAAAAGGTAATTTATTTCATAAAGCTTTAAAATATAGTTATATAAATTCCTAAATGCTTTGAGAACAGGGGAGAAGGGAAGTACAGATTCATTCAGCTACTTTTACCAAAGTATTGAAGAATACTTAGTAATTCGATATCAGTGCTTTCAGATATATAAATACCAATAACTGAAAAGTGTCCACACACTGTTTGTTCTTGTTTAGTTCAAGAAAATACATTTGTTTCTCTTGAGACAGTAGATCTATTTCTTCACTTGTATAAAAGCTATCCTACATACCATTTCTGGAATAGGTACTTCGAGCTGTGTGCCAGAAGGTGCCTGAATGGCCAATAGTGTATCACCTGGTAAAATAAAATTAATAAATACTTAACAACTGTAGAATGCTATAGATCATAAAAGACAAGGTAAGAATGAGACAAAAGTATAGAATCAAAAGTGTAGATTTAGTCACAGGCTTCCAGGTGTGGTGGTACATGGTTTTAATCCTAGCACTTAGGAAGTGAAGGCAGGAAAATTAAGAATTTCTTTGCTACAGAGTGAGTTCTAGGCCATCATTGGCTAATTAAGAAACTATCTCAGAAGTTAAATAAACAGAGGCTAGAGGTGTAGCTGAGTTGGTAGAGTGCCAGCCTATAAAAAAGGCCCGGGTTCTATCCCCAACACTGCAAAAATCAGGGGTGATGGCACATGCCTATAATCCCAGCACCAAAGAGGAAGAGGCAGGAGGGATCAGAAGGTCATCCTTAGCTATATAGTGAGATTGAGGCCAACCTGAGACCCTGTCTTAAAAAAAAACAATAAATAACCTAGGCCAGATGACGTCAGTGTCAATAAAATGAAGGCCATAACAACATGGCTGTGCCCTGGATATTAAATAAGGACAGGGCATACATGTTATCAGTAGCTTTTATAAGTCTCAAGCATTCTCAGGGTTGGCTGCTACTCTCACTGAACAATTCAGGTCCTTAACTTTTCTTTTACTTGTGTTCTGTAAAGTCAGACTGTGCAACCCTTTAGCCTCATATAAATATTGGTTACTTAGAGCAGTCAAACCATTTAAACAACAGGACACTAGAAGCTAAGTATAATAGAGTAACTGGTTATCCTTAGGCAAATTTATTTTTGAAGCCTATTTTGCAACAGAACTTTTATGCAATT